TCTTCACAGGCTTGTCATATTGATATGTTGGTAAAAATCTACAAAGTAGTTAAATTGTTCAGTGAGACAATTGTCTAGAGAAGCAGCAGCACACCTCTAATGCTGAAATAGTTGAATTGAAAACTCTCAACTGCTTTCCCCTTCCCCCTGTGAGGCTACTTACACTCTGGGCCTCTAGAGAAAGCTTTCTCTTTTTATATCCTCTCCTGCCTTTCCCTGCTCAGTGTGTTTTTTGTTTTATAACTCTTCATCTTTTTTTTTTTTCTTTCTCCCTTTAATTGGATACTAGGAAATAAGATGATTGTAATGAACTTGGGTAAGACAAATTACAAACCAAAGAAATAATGATAAGGTATGGTAGCACAGTACACCCGGAGAACAAAATGTATTTTACTTAAATTTTTGTGGTTTCTTTATTTGAAATTCTACTCAATTATCAAGCGCAAAGAATGTGTTTGTCTATTGTATGTGAAAGAGAAGTGATTTCTCAGAGATCTAGCCTGTTAATGAGGAATAAAGCTCTTAAATCTCATTTTGAGTTTGAGAGAGTAAACTTATATGTAGTATTTTTTATTCATATACATATGTATTTCTAGCTGTACATGTATGCAGAACCTGGTCATTATGCCTGTGACGTGAGGGAGGGCATGTCACATGCAGTTGATTTCCAGAAGAGCTCAGTCTTACTGGTAGCTAATCTCAGACAGGAGTCCAGGGTATGGTGCAAAACATTCATTTTCTTGTTTCCATAAGACAGCTGGCTCTTAAGCTGTGGGCCCTGTACTGGCAGCATCAGTTTTCTGTAGGAACTTCTTAAAAATGCAAATCATAGGCTCTGCCCTAGACCCACTGCATCTGAAATTTTAGGAACAGGACCTAGCTCTCTGTTTTATCAAATCCTCAAAGTGAGTGTGATACATCCTAAAACTGGAGAAGCACTGAGAAAGGCAGTCTTTCAGGTCTTGCAGATCTGCCAGTGTGGATGAACTCCCCAGAGGGCCTGCCCCCTCAAGTTTTCTTCCTTTCTGTTCTAGCTCCCTTCACTACCCGCAGTATCCTGACTCAGTCCTGTCTCAGAAGGAAAGTGAAGGTGTTAGCCATTCAGTTGTGTCAGACTCTTTGAGAGTCCATGGACTGTAGCCCACCAGGCTTCTCTGTCCATGGGATTCTCCAGGCAAGAATACTCAAGTGGGTAACATTCCCTTCTCCAGAGGATCTTCCCAACCCAGGGATCGATCCTGGATCTCCCGCGCTGCAGGCAGATTCTTTACCATCGGAGCCACCAGGGAAGCCTCAATCTCAGAGCCCCAATAGGAGATCAAGCTCACCAAGCTTCAGGATCTGGCTCAGTCTTGGTGGGCTCAATGGTCAACCTTTGTATTCTTCAGTGAAGAGTACTTCTGGCTCACTTGCTAGTACTGATCACTTCTTCTAACCTTGATTCAGTGCTTTATTGTGTAAAACAGTTCACCTCCCCATAGTAATCAAGACAAGAGGATTAAGATTGCCAGCCTGTCACATGTGCTATAAGTGGGGCAGTCATGGTGGAACAATTCTGGTTTATCGCCCCTTGTTCCAATACAATTAACAATACCATTCTCTTTTACTCTTGTCAGTGCTCTAGTTTAGACTGGTAGATTATATTACAGTGAACTTAAACAGTAAGCAATTCTAACACTACTGGAAAGTGGTCAAAGAAGGCTTCACCAGAAAGGAATGTTTTAGGAAAGGAGGAGTGTTTAGGAAGGAAGTGAAACATGTCCTATTATGCTAGGTGGGCAAGACAGGCAGACTGGAGATTGGGGCGGACAAGGCAGAGAAACCGTAGAGGCTGGGAGTTGAGGGCCAAATAAGGATGTGAAGCAGCAGGTTACATTAAGGGAAGCAGGGTAGTTCAGAGTCTGGAGCTGGGCTCTGGTGGGAGCAATAATAGAAGAAGCTAGTAGAAGAGGAGCTATTAAGGTAGTCTTTTAGGAATAAGAGCAAATTTTGTTCCTCCCCAATAACATATCAATTTAGGATCTTTGGATAATTATGTAGAGGAAACCTAGCATGTCTTGATTTCTTTATTTATGTTGGTTCTGTGTATTTGAAATGCTTTTTGCTCTATTTTTCCATCAATTGTGAGCTCTATTTCAAGCAACTGATTACTGTATAACACAGTATAATAATAATGTATCAATATTTTCAACTTTGGTTCAGATTTTCAAATTCACTTAAAAAACACCACATGATTCACATTGCCTAATGTTTTATAACTTTATCATAGCAGACACTAACTGGACTATTGAGATCTATGACTTATTGAGAACAGAATGGAGGGAATTAAGCAGATACTTTACTCATATGTTGTATTATTGTTTTTCTGCATGTTAATATGATAAATGAATCCTCCTATTAGAAAATTATCGGAATATTTTGGGGGGGGTCACCATTTGCAGTATTAAAAATTATATGTTTCATGTAGTTTGGGGATCTTGAAAGCTGCTACAAAGTCTATGTTCTGTGGCAAAGCTTACCTAAACTGTAAGGAAATGTTTTAAAATATTTTAAAAATTGCCTATTTGATTTTACATAACTAGTTAGTTACTCTTTTTGTTGTTGTTGATGAACATCAGAGATACATTCAGCATTAGTAGAACTTGAAAGGCTTTGCCCTGGTCATTGCATATCAACTGTCCTTCTAGGTCATTGAGTATCATTGTCTTCATTGCCTTGACTTCTTGTCACTGTCCCTCTGTTTCTGCATGGACAGTATAGATGTCATTTTTTTCCCCCAGAACTAATATATCTCCTTTTCCTTTTACCATCTGGAATAATAAGATAACCTTCATTATTCCATTAATTGTTGCATTTCCCTTCTATTAATACAGAATACATTTTCAGAATTAATAACTGGAAAGGAAAAAGAATAATTAATAAATTCATACATTATCCTGTTTAAATATCACATAAATAATTAGTATATTTATTAATACATTTAATTAGGTAAATAGGCCTTGAAGATAGGTAGCAGTTAATATATGTTTTAATTTTTAATCTGTAAGAAGCATAACTAACTGAAAAATGAGTTTAGCTTGGTATCCTGTACCAAGGCATATGTGCAGAGATATTAATATTCAGTATGCTGCAGATTGTCTATTTTTTGTCCTACTTTATTAAAACCTCATATACTTTAAATTGAATCTCATTTCAACATGTCTGTAGAGTTAATGTCTACATGAATTCCTTAAGTAATACATTTTTCTATGTATCAACATAACTACTTACAACTCTGTTTTCTTAATAGTTTTCTGATCCCAAAATTATGTTTGTTTTGGGAGATGAGAAAGGCGCCAAATGTTATGTGAAAAACTAAGAAAGTGATATAAAACGTTTTGTAGAAACAACGAAAGGACCTCCAACTCCTGTCAAAAAGTAGGATTAAAAGCCTAGGCCTGGCTTTACTCTCCACTCTTTACCAGTTGAAGTTTAGAAGCCGGGCTTAAGTACAAGCAGTGGCTGTGGTTGATTATAAAACCTTCAAGTGGAAAGTTTCCCCTGTATTTTAAGAACTGCCTTTTAGATCAGAAGATAATTTGTAATATTTACTAGATAAGCAGTAAGCAAAGAATTTACCATTTTTAAAGTTTTTCAGTTTCTTTGTATGTCTTAGGACTTGTAAATCATTTTTCCAGCAATATTTCATAGTGTGAAAGTCTTGAACTCTAAGAAAACAGGAATCTCAAAACAAACAAAAATAACAAAATTAAACAACTCTATAAGCCTGTCAATTGCCTGGGTAATTTCTGTATACCTCTGTCCTCCCTTGATTTGGTTTTCATTTGATTAATTGTATCAGATAAGGTTTAACATCATTACTTTTGCTGCTAATAAATCCTGACCTATAGAAAGCAGCCTGTTCTCTCTGCAAATTTACAGCCTTAAAATTGGTCCCAACTTTTTTCACCTTTCTTTGCCTTTACAATATGATTTTGGGGTAGCATCATACAACAGTTCTTGAGAGAGAGTTTTGAAGAATTGTGTGGCTTTATCTGCAATAATTTTAACCTTGCAAAGCTGACCTGAAAGTAATCTCAAAAATGTGAATTTGTGAATATTCTTTCGTGTTTAATAGTCAATCTATAAGATAATCCTAAGCCAACCTTTCTATGTTCTTTCAATAATTTTAGTGTTACTTAGATAAGGAAATAAATGTATCTTAATATGGGTAGTACTGTGCATAGACATCAGAGACAAAAACTGCTTTAAAGGACCAATAATTAAAATCAACTTGGGAATACATGTAAATCCATGGCTAATTCATTTCAATGTATGACAAAAACCACTGCAATGATGTAAAGTTATTAGCCTCCAACTAATAAAAATAAATGGAAAAAAAAAATAAAATCAACTCAACTTATTGTCATATATCTTTTTTTCCTACAAAGCAACTCTCACCTTAGAGTCTCAGAGGTTTATAGCTAATAATTAAATTTTACACTAGTGATGCAACATAATGATTATAGTGACTTACATAGGTGAAACAACTAATGTTTAAACCAGTTGATGAGTGGCTTACTGAAATATATTGTACCTGAGCTATAGATTTAGCGGAACTAACATAGTGCCTTAATCCCCACTTTGACCATCAGAAAACTAAAATCTTCCCAGAAATTTTTTTGTTTTGTTGTACTTAAATATATATATATATATTTTACATATTTGTAACATACCTTTAAATTTGTTCATTTTATTTCTTGCTTCAATAATCTATGGAGGATTTTTAAGAGAAAAAAATGTTTTAATGTAACAGATTTGGTGCACTACAATGTTCTGCAATTAAGGGAAAGGCATATAAAATATGCCTGAATAATAAGCATGCAGATATGCAGCACATATAAATCTTAGCTTTGTATCACCTTTACCACAGTTCTTACAGTTTTCTCTATAGCAGCTTTAGTTGTTTCACAGGATTATTATTTTCTAGGTTACAGCTCACTTGACTTCATGCTTTGCAGGTCAGTTTCTTCTGGAGGAAGCCCGCCTCATAGAAGCAGCTGAGATGGCGAAAAAGGCAGCTGAGCTGGACAGCACTGAGTTCGATGTTGTCTTCAATGCTGCCCACATGCTCAGGTATGGTTTTGCTAGTGTGCCTGTAAGGACTGACACTATAGCTTTAAACCTATTCAGTTAATCTAATTTAATCAATTATACCAATTCCCCTTTTTGTAAGTGCCACCTTACACTACATCCCAAAATGAATTATGCTGCTTAATCATGTTAAAATCAGTTGGGTCTATTTAATTCATTATGATTTATGTGCCCAGTATATAGGGTATATGAGAGTTTAGGATTCTCTGAAAATTATCTAAGACCCTTTTCCATTAAAAAATTATTGTCCATAAAATACAAAAGGAAAACTGCAAAATTGAAATTAATAATTGTCTAATTAAATGTCTCCAAGACAGAACATTGTGTCAATTAGTCAACTGCATCTCAGTATTTGTGTTTTGTATTAATCATTTTGAATGTGGCACATGAATACATTTTATTATGCTTGGTAGTAGAGAGGATTATCAAATATAAATATTCTGAAGGCCTATCAAATTCTCAGATGGCCCTATAATTAACACTGTTGTTACGTGTTGAAGTAGTATGTTTTTAAACCTATTTATGCATCTCTTCTCAGAAAGATTGTTTTGGAGACAAATTACAATAATTCAAAACAATTAAAAGTCATATGAACAGTTTTTGTGTCAATATAAAATGAAAGTGAATGCATTAAAGGAGGATGTTTTTAAGAAACTCAAATGATTTATACAGTTGTCCAAAAAGCATTACTTATTCTATTAGCCATGTATACACACCTTCTCAAGTGTGGTTACTTGAAATCCACTCTAAAAATCTCCATGCAGATGCTTCCTTAGGTAACATTCCCACTATGGCTCAGAGCCTGGCTTCTGGGAAGTTTCTGATTACATGAATCACTCTTACCTGGGAAGAAGAATAACAGAGAACTGGTCCACCTTTGGATGATTTTAAAAGATGGACTTTTGAGAAAAATTGAGAAACATTTAAAAATAAAAATTTTTTGAGATGATTGTAGATTTGCATGCAGTTAAGAAACAACACAGAGAGACCCCTATACAATTGATCCACTTTCCCCAATGGTGATATCTCATAGAACTACCATACAGTATCAAAACTGGTATTTTGACATTGATACTAATCTACTGGTTTCCCCAGTTTTACTTATACCATTGTGTGTATCTGTGTGTATTTAGTTTTGTGCACTTTTATTACACATATCAGTTTGTGTATCCATCATTCCAGTCAAAATACAGATGATTTCGATCACCATCAGCATCCTGTCCTTTTATAATCACATACCCACCAGGAACCAATATTTAAAGCAAGCTTTATAAATTACTTTGAAATTTTATTTATAATTTGATATTATTAATGTAACTATATCTTAGTGGTTTCCTCCTTGGCTTTTAATAAATTTTTAATAAGAAATTCAAAGTCTGTGAGGAAAAAGAATACTGTGAGGTTTCAGTTGAATACCCTCATTTCACATTAATGCTTAGCATTCCTAAAGCGGATACTTTCAAAGAGAAATCATCGTTCAATAAACTATTGGTATAATTTTAAAATAAATTGTAACCAGTTTGCAAGAACTTTCAATGGAAGGATAATTTTTTTAAAAGACAAGTTTAATGTCCATGACAAGGTCAGGTGCTGTGATGGGAAGGGGACTTTTTGTTCTTCATGAATAAAACACTATGCTTTTAGTCACAATAAACCATTTACAAGAATGTGCACGCATAAGTTTCTAGATGCGAATTCATCTTAATCATAATAGATACTTTCATCAACAAGACATTTTGCTACATATTAAATCAATATCTGAAGTTCAGGGTCTACCAATGTTCGTTATAAGAACAATTACAAAAAAGGTCCTTGTTAAATATATCACTTGTAATTTTTCCTTAGTTATCGTAGTGCTATAAACCAGTGGAAAGCTTTGTAATACATTGGCAGCATGGAAATTCTTAGGATTTATTTTTCAAAACCTTCTCTCTGGCTTTCTGCAGTATGCATTCCTTATCAAGTTGCATTCAGTCAGTGCCTTTCTATCATGATTGCAAGAATGACCACCGCAGCCTGCCCATATCCTATTCAACTTGGTGGCAGCTCCTATGAATGTTTTTGCTTATTTTTTCAGCTCTGTCAAATTCAAGTATTTCTTGAATGCTTACTGTGCAAGCTGAACACCAACCTCTTCCCTTATTAATCAAGAACATTTAGAGGTTTTCTGAAAAATAATAAGAAAGGCTAATGGTTTTCCCTTGAATGCAGCCTTATCAAAATGGTTAGCTGTCAAGATTTTGCTTATTCAGTGTTGCATCTAATATTTCCCTTGGTGATGCCACATTGTGGTAGATTGAGTTTGATGTTAATTTTTCCCCAAGAACTCTGTTCTTTCATAAGATATATAGGAGACAGAATTGCAAGTTTTGGTGATGAGTTGGATGTGAGGGAAAGGGCAGAAGTCTCCCTCGCTGTGTCTTGAATTAATGGTTGACCTAAGATCCAAAATCAGCAATTTAGGAAATGTTAGAATGTTCAAGACATGATTTGAAGCATCCTCATTTAACTTCCTTTTCCTAGGCTAATTCCCAGTGAGTTGACCCAAGGAATCTATTAATAGATAAAAAGCTGCTCATCACAAAAGCCAAAAAAGAAAAGAGGAAAAAAAAAAAAAATTATCCCCCCAGAAGAAACTAGATTGGAAGAGCCCATCAAGGGGAAAATCTTTATCTTATTCAGACTTTAAAGAGTCTAGAAATTTGCAAAATTTCTATCAGACTCATTTTAATTCTCAACAATAGACGAAGATCTCTTTCTGTAGAATTAGAACATTTCTAATTAACCCACTCCAGTATTCTTGCCTGGAGAATCCCATGGACAGAGGAGCCTGGCAGACTACAGTCCATGGGGTTGCAAGAGTCGGACACAACTTAGCAACTAAACCACCACCACCAACTTCTATTGTCAAGGTGATTCACAAGAGCACTATGTGATATGGAAGTATTAATGCTGCTCACCAAATATATTTGGGCTTCTGACTTCAAGAAACATAACGGGACTGCACTTTCTTGACTTCTCCCAAGTTGAAAGCCTCCCTGGGTCTTTTTGGGTCACTGAATGTGTGTGAATGTGATATATGTTACTTTCAAGCCAAAGTTGTAGGAGTCAGTGGAAATAGATCCTGAAATAATCAATGGGAGACAAACCTCCTTTCTCACCTGCATTAGATAGGTTGAACGAGTGCAAAACAAATTTTATCCCTTCACTGAGATTTAGGATGTGTCTATTATTGAAGTGCAATCTAACCTGTCTGAACTGAATATATCTGTGAAAATAAAATAGGTCGTTGAAAAGAGGGATCATGTAACGTCAGAAAAATTTACTCAGTGATTAATAGGATCTCTGAGTTTATAACTACAGTGGAGGCAATGTAAAATTCATAGATAGATAATTTAAACAGAAATTATAGATATTTTCCCAGTACTTAATGAAAAACACTAAAGATATGAAAATGATGGCTGAAAGTAAAAAAGATTGGAGGATAGAATGATAATGGTATATACACAGTAGTTTTATATATACATAAATATAATTACATATAGCATACAACTGTGTACATATAGTTATTTATACACGTATATAGGTAGCGTTTATATACTACTATATACATGTAATATGTATCCATGTACATGTACACATGTAATATGTGATGCTTTTGTCTGTATATATAAATATGTGTGTGTAATTATATGCTATTATATATGGGACAGAAATGAAAAAGTGCAGTGCTAGTCTCTCAGTTGTGTCCAGCTCTTTGCTGCTCCATAGATTGTAGCCTCCCAGGGTCCTCAGTCCACAGAATTCTCCAGGCAAAAATGCCAGAGTGGATAACCATTCCTTTCTCCAGGGGATATTCCCACCCCAGGGACTGAACCTGGGGCTCCTGCATTGCAGGCAGATGTTTTATCATCTGAGGGACCAGAGAAGTCCATATATGGCATATATACACATATAATTGTATTTGTTTTATAGATGTTAATGTAAACAGAAAATTTTTGAAGGAGAACCTAGAGCAGGTAAACAATTATCAACAGATAGAGAAAATTTCCAAGATAGGATGAAGGCCTTTAATCATCATATTAAAAGTCAAATTAATGAAAAGAGATCTACTCCTAAACTTATCTTCATGTTTGAGTCACTATTTTTAGTTGCTCACTAAAGAATCCACTCTTGCCAGTTTAAACAGAAACAGGATTTATTGTAGAGAATTCTGTCCACAGGCTCTTCTGACAGGACTGAGAGTACTCTACATAACCAGAAATAATTTCTACAGCCTGACTTTCCTTGCAGCACAGCAGATTTTAGAATCCAGAGCTCTGTCATCATCACCCACAAGGAACCAAGATGAGCAAGCACCACATTCATGAGATGATTCTTCTGGGTGCAGCTGCCCTTCCCCCCACCCCCTCATCCCCAGCCCATTTTCCTTACCTCTGACTTTGATTCTCATGAGTTTGCATCTGATTGATGGAATTTGAGTTTTGTGCTGATACTTTGCTGGAAGAAAGCTGGGACTTTCTGGCTTTTGCCTTGTTTGGGAAGACAGGATCCGCATTTTGGCTAATTACTAAATATATTTCCAGGAAGAGTGATCACAGATGTTGAAGGCCTCACATAATATTAGAATGTTGACTACACGTGTTGACAGTTTTAGTACTTCAAATAAAATGGAAAAGGAAAAAGGACTGGATGTTTCCAGATGAGAGCATTAAAAAAAAAAAAAGCAGATTGGTTATCATCAAAGGAAAATATCAAAGGAATTTAAAATACTAAAACTTAGTAGAGTTATGTCTATAGAATTGTGAGAGGAAAGTATTGAATCAATTATTCTGTTAGAAGCATCTTGTATGAATGGATTTATTCAGTGTTCTCCCAGAACTGGAAGCTTGAAAGCACACAAGGATATTTGACACCTGAGAGGAAGGATTGAGATGCTGAAAACAAATTTAACTTATTCCCAGCATTCATGGGCTGTGATG